AACATATATATATGTGTGTGTGTGTGTGTGTGTGCGCGCGTGCGTGTGTGGGGTCCACAAAGCTAATTTGAACAAGAGCCGAAAATGTAGAGGCTGTCACAAGAAGGAGCCTTGGTCTGTCAATGGTTACTTAAAAATTTACAACACAAAACAACAAATCACATATGTGCTATTTACACAATAAGATCCAAAGTTTAGTGAAAAAAAAAAAACAGCAAAATATATGTGTAAGTAAGGGTTTATTTGATGGTGTTTGAAGATGGGGGGTTAAAAGAAACACCATCTTTACAAACAATTACAACACTATATATATATATAATATATATATTGTTACAAATTTGTCATTTTATCATTTCTGCAATTTTAGAAAGCGAAGAACCTCTTCTTCTTCTTTTTCTTCTCCATGTAGGCAAGGAGTTCATCTTGTCGAACCAAAGCATCATCCAGTCTCTGCAAACATTCATAAACCCGTCAAATCGATCGGAAAATATACACCCTCTTTTCGAGTATACGAACTAATTATTTAGTAAGTAACACACTGTGTTCCTTATGTTCAAGCTAATATTAAAATGGTTAACATCTGATTGTTCTATAATGTCTGTAAATGTACGCGAGAGAGAGAGGGAGAGAGAGAGAGAGAGAGAGAGAGAGAGAGAGAGAGAGAGAGAGAGAGAGAGAGAGAGAGAGAACCTTTTTGGTAGCTAAAAGCTCATGTTCCAACATATCGACACGGTTCAAGGCATTATTAAGCATCTCCTCTTTCTCGGGCGGCATAGTAGCGGGCTTATTAGCAAGGACGCTCACCTTCTCCTCGAGTTCATTCATGCGTTTCATCATGATAAAATAATCCTCACTCGAGATTGCAGGAGCTGCGTTCATATTATTATTATAGCCGTGCGACTGACCTTTGAACATTGCATCCACACCGTACATTGAAGAAGAGTATAGTGTAGCATCCGTTAGTTTCTTCGGCATGTTACGAGTCATACGAACCATGGTCACAACTCCCATCACAAAGGTCATCACTCCGGCGAAGAGGTGGTTGCTTAGTCCCTCGGATTTCGTACACGCTTTTTGGTGCGAAGGGAAATAATCTTTGTCTATATAGGAAAGATAAAACAAAATTGGAAAAATTCAAATTGCATGTTATATAATTTTCAATTGAATGTAAACAATGAAACAAATAAGTTTTTCCTTGTGCCCTCGTTTGGTTGCCCGGACAATTCTTTCCAAAATTTGCGGGCCGGCCGATTTTTTTTCCTTTTTAATTAAAAAACCAAACCCGAAAAGGAATTGAACCCTTGAACTATTTAATTAATAATGGCTTTAAATCTTGTCAACCGAACGAGTGCTTCGTTTATTGTACCGAGTTGATTCAAGAAAAGGGTTCTTTTGACATACATATATTGATGAAAATATCCGGAAAAAAAACTTGCAAACATAGGTGATTTGTGCGATCAATGAGCGATGATTACGTACCTTTAGGAGGGGCAAAGTTGTCATAACTTGCTGCTTTTGGCCAAGTAGTTGTCACAGACTTGTCAACCATGGGCTCATATGCACTGGGAGAGTAGTTGTTTACCTGAAGGGCAAATTTTGTTCACAGAAATTCAATAGACAGTAATTTATTATCGTCCAATACGGTAAAAAGTTAATACAAAACTTACTTCTTCATGAACTGGAGAGAGCTGCGTACGCGGAATATGCTCTTTAGTAACTTCCGGATAATCCATTTTTTCGTCCAGTAGTGAAACAATTATTTTGTTCGAGCATTTGTGTTCTCCGTTTCGGACCATCTTGCAATTTTTTTTTGTAATGATTAGCGAATATTAGTAAGCTAGTAGAAATAAATTTGGAAATATGAAAGGTCGATTAATCGATGAAAATAAATAACCTTCATAATTTCAGTGTCGTTCCAAGGGCCCTTATCGGAAAACATACAACCACCCTTATCTGCACATGTGCATGTACCACCCAAGAACTCTGGTAGCTCACTGTTACACGAATAAAAGAAGTTGGCTGATTAGATAATTAATTAATATTACCACGTTTATTGAAAAAAGAAAAAAAAGAAAAGAAAAGAAAAAAGGACCCCGCTTAAAGTACGAATTCATAATATATTTTTTTTACCTTGCGTCAATGACCTCGAGTAGCTTGCTCTGGTATTTATTACCCAAAACCTGGTAAAAAGTAACATAGGAACTTTATCAGATCAAACTTAAGCAGAATATCTAATGTACTAAGGCCTCGTTTGGTTGCCACGATGAGATCAGCCAAGATAAGATTACGCGATCTCATGAGGATTCAATTGTTATTACTATAACTAAGATAAAGAGTGGGACGGTCCGAAAAGTACTGGATTAACCAAAGAGCCTAAAGCCAGATCCTGCATTGATAATGTACATGCGGCATAGCGTCTGAAACAAAATAAAAAAATAAATTAAAACCGATGAATATTTCATTCAACTACCAAGTTATATATATTAATATATATATATATATATATATATATATATATATATATATATATATATATATATATATATATATATACATATACATATATATTACCTCAGGGTAATTATCGCCATCAATCTTCTGAAGGCGCTGAACGAGTTCTCTAGCAGCCTTATTGAAACTTTTCAGTCCCTGAAAATTAGAACACTTTGTATGTTACACTTTATATATTTCCATGAATGCAAACCCAAAAAATCTATTTATTTTGACGTTCTGAAAAGAGTGAAATTACGGAAGCGCCCTCCAACGTACCACTCCTTGGACATCCAAAATGGTGGTGCTCTGGTCAATGTGCTTTTTCGCTGCAATGGAACATGCCGGAAACTTGTCGATGAAAGTCCTCTCGAATTCTTGGACATGGTATTTAAGGTAGCGATCCAATGTGGTGACCTGCATGAGCTTCGTCGAGTCAACTTGACCAAGTCTCTCTATATAGACAGGTCGTCCGTCTTTGTCAACACCATGATGCCCTTGTGGATAGTATTTAAGAACCTCTTCTCTCTCCTTGAAATCGAATTCCTATCAGAAAAAAAAAATTAAGGAAATATTTTTTTTTTCCATTTTCAAATTTGTTTTTATAGATCACGAGTACCTCCATAATATTGTCGGCTCCAAATTCTTTCCTCCAGTGAATCATATCAGCCCACATTTGCTTTGTTTTCTCAATGTCGAATTTCCTTGCCTTCAGAAACCTACGTAATAAGACGCGAAATACCATGTTAGCACCTTTTTACATTTTCTTGAATGAAATGGCAACCTCTAAATTCAGCAAATATGATTTAGCAACGATGTGGAAAATGGGCAGGCTTATAATTTCAATATGAAGGAAAATAAAATATTTAATTTCTTCAATGTTCGACGGAAAAGGATCAACCAAAGGAATGATAAAAACTAATGCAACACAAAACAACAACGATTTGATAATCATAAGCAGATCTCTAAATTTGTCTATACAAAACCATCAAATAATTACGTACCATTATGGAAGAATCTATCAATTATATCGTGCAAAAGGGTTAAATTCTATATAAATATAACATCTACCCAAACCACGGACCGTGAGAGAATTAATTAAATTACCTTATTAACATATGACGTGAAGCTAAATTTGTCTATAATAAGGCATTAACCGATTACAAACCCTTATAAAAGAATCTACCGATTTTTTCGGGCAAAAGGGTATTAAATTCGATATAAATACAACATTTTCACAAATCATGGAGAAAATGTGGGAGATTAATTAAAAAAATTACCTAAGTAACATATGATAGTCATCGTGTTTTGTTGGGAGTAATTCTTCCAAGATGAGTGCCTGTCGTAAAGCATCAACGGCCTGGATTTCATCGGCATCGTGCTCATCGTCAAACACAACTGACATAACTCTGCTGTTACGCCGCCCCTTTTTCGTCAACGAGTGTCTGAATTTTGTAGAGGCACTGATAGCCACCTTCTTTAGAGAACCAAGCCTCGTTTTTCTCTCATCCTCTGATATATCTATATCGATTTTCTCGAGACCTGCAATGAGATTTTTGCCATATCTCAGATTTTATTTTAATTTTTTGTCCTTTTCTGATAGCATCTCATGCAGATTAACACATGTAAAAATCCACAATGCCTTTTTCGTAGATTACGATAATCTTGGTCATTATGGTCAAAATTATCGGCATCCATTTTAGATTTCGAACAATCCCAATTCATTACAAATTCAAATTTCACCAATTCATTACAAATTCAAATTTCACCAATTCATTACAATAAACTCTCAACTATTTAACCAATGTCCTTATTCTCGATCCATGCAAGAAATTAATAAAATTTAAATAATAACAACGGAAAAAAAAATATAAAATATATCGGAAAAACGAAAAAGAAAGAACTTACTCGGCCTGAACGGGCGTTCAGTAGGTCCTGATCTATTGTCACTCATGGTTGCAGTTCGCAAATTTTGATCACTTTCTAAGTACTATTAATCAGTATTTACAGGATCGGAAAATCACGAACATGCATATATTACCTACAAATCATACAAAAGAGTTAATTAAATGCATTTCTAAATAACAGAACCATACACATTTTCGGCTCATCAATTAACGTAACAACCTACGAAAAAACGAACGGCATTAATATAACAACAAATCATGCAACAATGCCTCCACACAATAAATTAAAAAAAAAAAAAAAATCTACACAATCTCATCAAACAACAATGTAAAATTAAAAGATGTTTCGATTCAAATAAACAGAGGAATCGATTGGCAGGTAAATCGTAAAACGCATTACTTTCGGTTTGATCGTAATTAATTCCAATTCATCAATGTACTTTCCTTCAAAGGAAATTAAAAAAAAAAAAAAAAAAGAAACAAACAGAGAAAAAATTTGAAGGAAAGATTTGAAGTTTGAGGAATTTCTTTAGAGAGAGAGAGAGAGAGAGATGGAGGAGAGAGAGAAAGGGGAAAGGGGGGAAACCTATATTGGCCAATGACAAAGATGGAGGGCGATTAAGAAATAGCGGAGGGTGAATTATTAATATAATCACACCTAATTACGAAATCAACGCCTGCCCAATCAATTCATTCACAAAATAATTGATGGACCCCCATTTTTCATTCAGATTTCACTTTTGCAATTTCTTTCTTCAAGCCGCCATTAAAGCTTATTTTCAAATTGTGCGTGTGTGTGTATATATATATATATAGATATATATATATATATATATGTATATGTAAGTAATGTGTGTAAAAATCAACCGTGGGGATAATGTAGTATTGCTTCTTCTCTTTGACTTTGTGACCTTTCTGAAAATTCATCTGAGTTTGATTCTCAGTCATCTGTGTGTGTGAGTGTGCGTGTGTTTGTGTGTGAGAGAGAGAGAGAGAGGGGAGTTTGTGCGTAGTGCAAGCCACTCCGTTCAAACCGAAAAAAAAAAAACTAACGTCTCTATTCAGTTTATATTCGCCGATAAATTATTTATTAATAATAATAATAATATTATTAATATAATAATTATAATCATTAATCATTATATAAATAAACTATAGCAGATTTTTCTGTGTTTTATAACTTACCCTCACAATGCGTCTGCTGAATTATTCAAGAACTTAAGCGAATAATATTATCAACTTGAATAAGAATAATAAGCCAGAGGAATTATTTGTAATTAGTTTAGTGAAACCTTATTAGTGAAAAACTCTAAGCATAATTAAAGACTATAATGCCATAATGGGCCTATACCACTCAAACAACGCAGCATTAATCCATTAACTTAATTATTTATAGGTAGAACCATGATTAGGATCTTATAAAATAATTCAAATTAAATAAAAATTAATTGGTCCATTAATTTGGCCCAATGATGCGTATCATAATCCTACAATTAATTAATCATGAGATTTCGGTTTCCAATCGGATTTTAATTTCGAAAGTGTCGATTTCTTTCCTTCGAAAATTATACATATGACATCAATGTTATTATGCATTTAAATTTGTTAAGTGACGAAATAGTTAATATTCTCCAAATGCGGTCGATTCAAAACAAAAAAATTCTAAATTTGGAATGAGTTTACATTCTGATGTTGTATCACTCAATCTTTTGGTAGATTAAACATAAATCTCGAAGTAGGTCATGTGAGTCAGAGTCAGTGAAAGTTGATTCAACTCAGGCTGAGGAAAGGATGTTTGATTCAGCCCACGTGGAGGAGTGACTTACTTGCATCAGCTCGGGTGGATTCACCGTTGTAGGAAGGTTGTACACACTAAGTACCTCCTGATGTTAAGCGATTCTCATGATCACCTAGTCTACTTCGCGATCTTGACTGCACTTTCACATGCGGTGCCAGAATGATGTTGTAACACTCAACCTTAGGTAAATTAAACAGGAACGCGGGGAGGTTACTGCACACGAGAAGGTGATCTTAATCAAAGTCGCCGTTAAATAAAGAGTTGTAGAACGCCTTAGTCTTGAACTTACAATGTAAAAGGATATATAAACTTGATCCGACGAAAACTCCTTCAGCACTCAAGTTAGCAGCCGCCTAACACTAAATGATTCTAGGTAATTCAAGCGTAATAATAGCACGTACCTTTAACAGTGAGCGTAAAATCGTATTTACGATGGCGTCGATTAGAATATAATTCTAATTTGAGTTAAATACTTTAATGGGCTTATGAACTAGTTTGAAATTGATAACTAATGGGCCGACACTACTAAAACCCAATCCGACCGTTGAATTTTAGTCCATGTACAAATTTGGAGTCGACCTACTATCCAGTTCTGCAGTTCACTCAAGCTCACTCTCTCCTCCAACAATGGCGGCTGCTGCCAATCTCCTCTCTCCAAACCCGACAACCCTCTCCACAAAACCCGCCAACCTTCATTCGGATCTCTTTTCCGTGACCCGCGTATTGCCCTTCAAATCCAAGCCCATCTCGAGAACACTAACATCTCTGCGGGCCCGTATTGCTCCGAAGGCGGTTATCGCTACATCGGAGCCGAAGACGCAGAATTTTCAGCATTGCTTCACGAAATCCGACGATGGGTTTCTGTACTGCGAGGGGGTTAAGGTTGAAGAAGTGATGGAAGCTGTGGAGAAAAGGCCCTTTTATCTGTACAGCAAGCCGCAAATTACCAGAAACGTCGAGGCGTACAAGGAAGCGCTGGAGGGTTTGAATTCGATTATCGGTTACGCGATTAAGGCGAACAATAATCTGAAAATCTTGGAGCATCTGCAGAAATTGGGGTGTGGAGCTGTTCTTGTTAGCGGGAACGAGGTTAAGTTGGCTCTCCGTGCTGGATTTGACCCTAAAAGGTATTGATTATTACATTTGTGCCATCGTTTCACTTTTGCATCGTATGATTTTCAAATGAGAAAGTATCTCGATGAGAAATGAAGCTTGAGAAATTATGCCCACCAAGTGTTTGATAGTTTGTCACAGTGAGTGGAGTCTCAATTTTGGTAAAAAAAAAAGAAAATGAAAGATGATGCTGTGAAATTTAGAATCCAGTGCTTCAGAAATATTGACATTGAGTGTTTAATCATTTAATTACAATTTAATCCGTGTGTTTTTTTCGGATAATAAGAGAAAAGGGAATCCATGACCTCTAATGTTCGACATTCGTAACAGTGATTTCGAACCCTTTGAGAAATTTTGAGAAATAGAGTAAATATGAAGTAACTCCACTCTGCATGCTGAGCATGCCGTCTGGCTTTTGAAGCTCGATTAATTATAATATATGATGGTTTAATTTTGTCGTGTACCTTAGGTGTAGCGTGGTGGTATTATACTTTGTTCTATGTTAAACACGCACGTCACATTGGAGTGCAGGTGTGTCTTTAATGGGAATGGGAAGATCTTGGATGATTTAGTCTTGGCCGCTCAAGAGGGCGTTTTCGTCAATATCGACAGCGAGTTCGATTTGGAAAACATTGTGGCAGCGGCAAGAATTGCTGGGAAGAAGGTTAATGTGCTATTACGTATCAACCCCGACGTTGATCCTCAGGTATTATTAGGGCGTGCTTGGAGTTTTTTCTTTATTTTATATTGCACTTATGGATTTACACCAACTGCTGCTGCGTAAATCAGGTTCACCCTTATGTTGCCACGGGGAATAAAAACTCAAAATTCGGTATCAGAAACGAAAAGCTGCAGTGGTTTTTAGATGCTGTAAAGGCACACCCTAAGGAATTGAAACTTGTCGGGGCCCATTGCCATCTTGGTTCTACTATTACAAAGGTTTGCAGAAATCCAAATTTTCGATTATAATTTCCTGTTGCTTTCGATAAGCAATATTAACCCTAAATTGGTTCTCCAGGTAGACATATTTAGAGACGCTGCTCTGTTGATGGTGAACTACATAGACGAGATTCGTTCGCAAGGTTTTGAAATAGATTATTTGAATATTGGAGGCGGACTGGGAATCGATTATTATCATACCGGAGCTGTACTTCCCACTCCGATGGATTTAATCAATACTGTGAGTAGTATCACTTCATTTATCCACGTTCAAATTCTTATTACATGTTCGTCATATACAGTAGAACCTCGATAAATTAATAACCTCGCTTTAATGATAGTTTCTTCTGGTCCCGACTCGGTAAAAACCTACTAAATTATTAATTCGATAATTTAATATTTCGCTAAATTAATAGGAATTTTGCTAGTCCCGACTGTATTAATTTATAGAGGTTTACCTGTACAAGGTTTTTTGTTTGATAATAATAATAATAATTATATATATCTATATAAATGTTATGTATAGGTTCGGGAATTGGTTGTTTCACGAAATCTCAATCTAGTAATTGAACCTGGAAGATCACTCATTGCAAACACTTGCTGTTTTGTCAATCATGTGACTGGAGTGAAAACCAACGGGACGAAGAATTTCATTGTGATTGATGGTAGCATGTCGGAACTTATTCGCCCGAGTTTATATGGGGCTTACCAGGTCAGGTTATCGATTTTTTATTCTGCAAAATAATTGATGCAATATATATTACCAATGTACTCTTGCTTCTTTTAAAAAAATTATTTATTCATCTATATTTGCCTGAGTTTATATGGGGCTTACCAGTCAGTTTCTTATCGTTTTGGAACAATATTTTTCATTCCGAATTTTCCAAAATTTATGAATTCGATTTTTTCGATTCTCTTGGAATGAAATTGGTGTACATATTTGTTAATTTCAAAAAAAAAAATAAAAAACCCGATAATTTCAATTTTTTTCCAAAAATTGTACTTGTACTATTTATATTATGTATTTTATATTATAAGTGACTACAAAAATAGAAATTCCGAATTCCGCCAATTTCGATCCATTCTCGTGCTTATGCTCGTCTTGATATTGATCCGTTCTTAGTTATCACGTTTTTACCAACTCCACATATCTCGAATTGTGTGCTGTTTTCAAAATGTGGGCATTTTTCTTTTTACGAGAATGTTATTGACTTCTCGTCTTGTACTCACTGCAGCACATAGAGCTGGTTTCACCTTCACCATCAGATGCCGAGATTTCGACTTTCGATGTGGTGGGTCCCGTTTGTGAATCTGCAGATTTCCTAGGGAAAGACAGGGAATTACCCACACCTACTAAGGTACTTCTACTATATATATATATATATATATATATATATATATATATATATATATATATATATATATATATATATATATATATATATATATATATATATATATATATATATATATATATATATATATATATATATATATATATATATATATATATATATATATATATATATATATATATATATATATATATATATATATATATATATATATATATATATATATATATATATATATATATATATCATCATTTCCTTAAATTCTTTTTTTTTAACAGAAATAAACTTATTAAAAAAAATAAAAATAAATAATCCCTTGGCTTTTTCTAGGGTGCTGGATTGGTAGTTCACGATGCCGGTGCTTACTGCATGAGCATGGCATCGACATACAATCTCAAGATGCGCCCCCCTGAATACTGGGTTCGTTTTCTGCTCCTTTTTTTTCATCAATTATAACGTAAAAATAATTTTCATTTCGTAAGTATGCAATGAAATAAAGCTCGATTTTTTAGGTTGAAGATGATGGATCTTTGTCCAAAATCCGACACGGTGAGACATTTGACGACCATTTAAGATTCTTCGACGGTCTCTAAGTTCGTTCTAGATTTAATTCATCGTCTCAACATCATCTATCCTGGGTAAGAATCTCGGATGCTGATTTTCTTTTTCTTTGCGTCCTGAATTCTGCTTGTGTATTATTTTGCTCTGCTGTTTCAGTTCATATTAAAAACTCGGCTATGTGTTTGATCCTTGTCAAGAAATAATTGAATGTGTTCTACACAATATGCGTTTATGTGTACACTTGTGCGTTTTCTAGATTCCATATAAATTTTACACACATTCACATGTATACGTGTGTTTGTGCATAGTGCAAATGCGGAAAACTACTCTTTGCATTTCAATAGGTGTAAAATCTAAACGACCTACAAGCCATAAACCTAGTCAATCGAAATCAAACCAGAGATCTCGTTCCTTTTTTTTTTTGATGTGAAAAAAGTAGATTCGATGTGCAAGTATTAGTGCTGCTGCGAAAGAACTGAGTCATTTTGATAAACACTATGTAACAACTTTTCTTGGTTCTTTATATATATATAGAGGGTAAATTACGGCCACCCCTGAGGTAAGGTCAAATTACGAGAAAAAAAACCCTCATGTTTGGGTAATTTCAACCATCCCTCAACTATTAATCTTCTTACACGTTCATTCGATTCGTGTCAAATTTAATGGAATCTTCTAGATTATGTGGAATATTCTCCTATGTGTACCTGTTTTATACAATTGAAGCGCCGTATTTTGAAACAAGATGATCATAAGTTGCCTTGTAAAATATCAGATTGTGGTGCATCGGAAATTGTATTTTTGCACAAATTAGAGAAAATTTCACAAAATCTAGAAGAGTTTGACACAATAAGGGATGAACGTGTAATGAGATTCATAATTGAGGAAGGTCGTTGTAATTATCCAAACAATACGTTTTTTTCGTAATTTGACATTACTTCTGGGGGAGTGATTGTAATTTACCCTTATGTATATATAATGTATTTTTTGGCATTTGAAATTAGATGGATAAAAAGGACTAAGAAAAGGGCATCAAAGCACACATGCATGCGTGCACATAACAGCAATTATCCATTAACGTTTAATTATCTATCTTCTTGTTGAGGGGTTTATGCCCCCCAACTTTTTCTTTTGCCTCTAAATATTCTTAGATAAGAATAGCAATACGACATCAAAAAGCATATATGCCAGAGAACAATAATTTCGAATACTGTTCTCTCAATTATTCCTTTTTTTTTAATATTTATTTTCCATAAAATAAAGTTGTATAGTATTTGCTTGTCTGATTTAGGACAAATTTGGCTGACCATATTTTGTGTTTCAATTTGATATTTTGCATTTCGTATTACGAATCTCGAACAGCCACCCTCTGAGTTAAGGTTAAATTACAAAATAACCTCTCTTCAGTAGGTAAATTTAATACCTTAAGTGTAGACGTGTAAGACAATACGTAATCGAGGGGTGTGGTTGTAATTAACGAAACAAGAGAAGTTTTTTTCATAATTTGATCATAACTAAGGGATAACCGTAATTTGCCCTTATCTCTACTAAATAGTAAATAGTTTATGAAGTTAATTTTGGAAGTGGATTTATACATGCGAATCTGTGAACTATCCTCTTTTAAATGAATACTTGACTTTGCTAATATATGCATAGGCCTCGTTTGGTTCTAAGATAAGATTAACCTATATTAAATTAAATAATTTAATAAAATTCCGAATGTATTACTGGACCATATGATACGAGATCTAGTAACAAATCTGCCTAAAAAATAAAATAAACTATGATAAAATAATATTTCCGAATCGAATCGAAAAATTAAAAGTTACAACTTATCTCCCTAAACAAATGAGGCTAGTGTAAAATGTATGTTACTAAAACATTCCTCATGCATGTAAACTTAGGTTTGACCACCGGTTTTGAACAGTCGAGAATCATCGATTACGAGCTGGTTCTCGGTTGGTTGGTTGACTGTTAATCGTTTATTTTTATTTTATTTTATTTTTAGGGGGAAAAGGAAAAGAGAGCTGAACAATAACATCCCCTACATATGTCATCTAAAAACCATGTACATATTTGTTACATAAATATACAATTCTAGGTTCTAACTAATCGAGTCTAAATTACCAAATAGCCCCCAAAAGAAAACGATGCTAAAACTACGAAGGATCTAAAACAGCATATCCGGGATTCAATTGATCGAAACCGCAGCTGTAAAATCATCTTCCTCCTCCCTCAAACACCTCTGCTGCCGGGCGATGAACGCTTCCACTGTTCGCCGGAACTCTTCGCCGCTCATCCCATCCTCCTCGTACGAAGAGCGGTTCGCCTCTGCTGAAACCAGCTTCCGCCCGCAGTCCGAGTTTTTCCGACACCGCTCCGTCACGCTCCGCCTCAGCTGGCGGCGGCGCTCGTCCACGTGCATCATCTGATTCTCCGAGTGGCTCCTCTGTATCTTCATTCCTTCGCCGCGCGCGTCGCACGCTTTTTTCTCCTCTAGTTTGTTGTGCGATTGCGGATTCCGCCAACATTTCGCCACGTACTCGTCGTAAAAATCGGCGGTTTTCTCTCCTCCACTATTATTATTGGTGGAAAATCGGCCCGATTTGAAGAACAGAACTATGACGATAGCGTTTCCGACTAGAAAAACGAACCGGGGGCTGATTAGCGCGATGGAGATTCCACTGAAGTACTCCCCCGCCGACAGCTTCACCGACGAAGCGAACTGAGAGCAGAACCTAGACACGGTCACGAGGAAAACGAAGAGCTCGACGAAACGGAACAAAGCCGTGATTTTTCGAATACGGCGGTACCTTAAAACCGCGTTTGCTTTCTCAACTCTGATGTCTTGAAAGTTGTTGAATGTGTCCATTTTTTCGGAATTAAATTAATTCTTTTTTTTTTAAAATAAAAAAATTAGAAGAGGATGAAATAATGGTTTTTCTTTTTCCTTAGATTTTTTGGAGTGGCAATAAATGCATTGAAGCAGGAAAGAAGTAGTGATATATATGTATATATATATAAGCACAAAGAAAAAGAAAAAAAAAAAAAAAAAGGAGATTCTCCAAACTTTTTTACTCCACTTACTTTATCAGTTGCAAGTGATTTTGAAATTGTTTATGGAAAAAAAGAAAAAAGAGAAAGTGATTTTGAAATTTTGTTTTGGCACAAGTGTAGGTGGTGTGGTCGTCTTGTAGATGTTAATGTAAATCTGTAAAAAGTATGTATGTGTGTAGGGGTGTAAATGAACTGAGTCGGCTCGATAATAGCTCGAACTCGAACTTGATTTTTTCGAGTTCGAGTTCGAGCTCTCTAACGAGCCGAGCCCGAGCTCATTATTAGTTGTTCTTGGACTTACGAGGTGGCCCAATAATAAAATATTCTAGGTTTTTTTCTTTTTTAATTTTAAAATAATTTATATAAAATAAATAATAAATTCAATAAAAGTAATTAGAAATAAAATAAAATATATGTCACTTTTTATTTTTGAAGTTTTTTAACATAATTTATAGTAATAAGATTATAATAGTATTAATAAAACAAAAAAAAAGGCACAAAATGGCTTAGGCTTGAGTTCGAGCTCAAAAACAAATACTCGAAGAGCTCGGACTCGTCAAAATGGATTCAACCTCGAACTTGAACTCGTCAAAACAGCCAAGCTCAGCTCGTTTACACCTTTACGTGTGTGTTGTAGAGTATAACTTCATGGATATTATCAGGTGTAACATGGAATAAGTGGTGGTTGTGTTTAGATATTAAAGTGTAAAAAATCAATAGATCAAAGCACAAAACACTTTTGTTTTTGTTTTGTTGGGTAGAGAGTGACAACTGAGAGTGAGCATATAATATAAGCTGTTCTTGAATTTGAAATCACCAGCTGTTGCTTCTGAGCATCTTTGCTTTATATATTACAAATTGGATAAATATTTCATGATTTGGAAATTTGAAACTTTTTTTTCCTTTTCTTTTTAAATGTGGGATCATATTGTTTTATAGATTTTTTTTTAAAACTTGTTTTAGGCATTCTTTTAGGCATAATTGTATGTTGGGTCGGTTCGAGATTCAGTTGTAATTATATTGCGCAAATTACGGCCACCCTCTAAAGGAATGTCGAATTACGAAAAAAACACTTATGTTTGAATAATTATAAAAACCTCCATGAACTATTTATTTTCTTACGAAAAAACCCTTATTGAGGAGGTAAATTTAGGTGTTTTCCGATTAAATTTAATAATTAATAATAAGTCCTGCTCATTTTCACAACCTACTTTACCTTTTTTCGATTAGTATGGGAAAAAAATAAATAACAATTATTGGGTCTTGATTTAACAATTCTATTAATTAGTAATGCAACAATACACTTTAGTTAGGTTTCCTACGTGGAAATTTTACTTCCCACTCTTAGCACGCCCATTGAAATTATAAAACCCACAACAATCACCTTTTAAAGTTGTGCTCCTTTTTTTCTTTTTCTTTCTATGTATATATTCTATTTTATTTTCACTATGCTATTTGAGGGGTGGGATTGTAATTTTTAGTTCTTGTGGGGTGAGTTATTTCTTCCTTACTAACTAAGAAACTCCCACGTACCTCTTCTTTACTTGTTGGAAACTCTCACTCAGGCCCACAAACAATAATGTGTGAACCATTTTTAAAGAACCCCAAAATTATAGATATTTGCAACAAGGGCCCTCTAAACATTTAGCTTTGTGGTTGTGGTTTTCGAAGCCTTTAAACAAAGCCAAACATAGACTGCTCATTGAGAAATTCTGCCTTAGAATATATGGGTCAATTGGGCATCTGGGTCATGCCCCCATCTTCTCGATAAATCGAGTTAAAAGCCCAATAAGACGAGAAAAACAAGTTGGGCTGCCAAAAGCCGCTGAGCAGATCCCGAAGAGTAAGGTGGGTCAAGAGCTCGACTAAGGGAGTTCCTCGCCTTCAGAGTTTGCCTAGATAGGGCACGATAGTCAGAAAGGGCTAAAAGCTCGCCTAATATGTCTTTGATTGAGAAAAGGAGATGCAACAGATGACGAACTAGTCTTATAAACGTTAGAGGAAAAGATCTGGAGATAACTTCCATAAATAAATAAGAAAGATTGTAGTAGACTGAGATCATTGATTGAGCAATCATAATTGTGAACAAAGATAGCAATTGTAAATGCAGAGCCATTGGTAATTTTTTATAGAAGAAAGTGTGAAGAACCCTATTAGGGTTACGTCCACGTAGACATTGAATAACACATTTTGATACTTTCTCTCAAGTTCTCTCTCATTTGTCTTGTTCCACCTTTTTGTTCACCGTCAACCAAAAAACCGGCGATAAGTGCACTTTCCAGCATTTCAGAGAGTTGGACTTGAAGAAAGATCTGGAACGTGCAATAATTAAACCATCAGATATATAAGCTATATTGTGATAAGTTCATAACCGGACCGGACACAAGACGGAGTAGACGTTTTCGGTCACGGTTGGACCGATTCAGCCGGTTCAACTCGGGCCTAATTACATGGCTTCTAAAAATACATTCAAACAAACATTCCATCACTAAAAAGGCTATTCAAATACTCTAATTTAATTCAACTAAATATCATTTACCTAAATAAATACACAAACGGATAAACCCATGCTTTATTTTGCAATACTGAATTAAATTAAATGGGTTTTATTACCAAAAAAAGATAATAAATAATAATAATAATAATAACAATTTTATCTATTTCGAAAATTCAGTAGTAGAAGTTCTTTTGTTTGGGCTATGGGCTAAACAGAAGGCCCAAAAAACAATGAAAACGGCCCGAATGAAACCCTAGAAAACCAACCTACTTATACCTTCGAAAGAAACAAAAACCCTAATTCTGCGATTACAGATTCGTCGTCTTCACTCCTTCATTTCGATCTCGGCCGCTCCAGCTCTCTTCGACAATGGTATTCGCCTCTGTTTCCGCTCAATCTCACCTTAAACAAACACAAAATTCCGCAACGGATTTCTAATTTCTCTGTTTAATTTTGTTTTTTTTTTCAGGCACCGAAGAAGGAAAAGGCTCCCCCGCCGTCGTCGAAGCCGGCGAAATCCGGCGGAGGCAAGCAGAAGAAGAAGGTCATTTCCTATTTGTTTATATGTACGTGTGTGTGTGTGTGTTTTTGTTTGGGGGTGGAAATCTAATAAAGTGAAAATGTTGGGGGGAAAATGTAATAAATGCAGAAATGGAGCAAGGGAAAGCAAAAGGAGAAGGTGAACAACATGGTGCTGTTCGATAAGGCAACGTACGACAAGCTGCTTGTTGAGGCTCCCAAGTACAAGCTCATCACTCCCTCTGTTCTCTCTGATCGTCTCAGGGTAATTTTCTATTTTTTGATTTTTTATTTTGGAATTTTTTTAATTAATTTGCATTTAATTTGTTTATATGAAGATTAGTGTTGTCTGCTACTAATTACATGTATTTAGGTTTTTTTTTCTGCCCTGTATGTTGTGTTACTAAAGTGATGTAGTTGGAATTGATAGTTACGATAGTAATGTAGTTATCGATGGTTACGATAGTAATGTAGCTGGCATTGATAAATACAGTAGTAATGTTGTTGGAATTGATAGTTACGATAGTCATGTAGTTTGAATCGATAGTAATGTAGTTGGGATCGATAGTGAAGGTATAATTTTGAATCTAATTCGAAGTATTGGTAGTGATTTATGGATGGAATACACTATCTTTTAATTGCAATATAGCTAGGTGAATTGCTTCTCTATGTTTCGGTAGCTTGCCAATTTTATTTCTCCTTATATTGTAGCAAATGTTGTTTGTTATATATTTAATTTCATTCCGTAAGTATACGTCGTCAATTACTTAATATTCATCAATTACATGGTTCTCAAATTATTTTCTCATAATAAAATGAAATTAGTTAACGAAAATTCATCCAACCTCAGCGCCAGTCGTATCTATTTATGTTTGATAATTATTCGTTTCTCGAGTGATTTTGAAACAAATTTCAGATTGGGTTTTGATTTTTGTTATATTAATTTATGTTACAGATTAGTGGATCACTTGCAAGAAAGGCAATTAGGGAATTGATGGCTAGAGGCTTGATCAGAATGGTGTCGGCACATTCGAGCCAGCAGATTTACACCAGGGCAACCAACACCTAATCGGTTATATTTTAATGGTATTTTGAGAGTTCAATTGGAATTTTTCGATTTAGATTCTCTGTTTCCTTTTGTCTTAAAGCTCGAGATTTCTGCTTGTACTATTTTTTTCTATGAGTCCATACGATCTTTATTGAGTTTATTTTAAGCTTGTTTTTTCTTATACCACCTATTATTACATTCCGATTATTTTGCATGATTTTACTTTTAACCGTACCGTCCTTTGAATCATGAGACGTTTTGGATCTTGAGGAATTCGTAAACTGATTGAATTATACAATTATTTAGATTCTGATTATACCTTATGATAATCACGAATCAAATTCCTTAAATTGTATCGATCGATTATGGTGAAATTTAAACCCGTGTAAAAACACGTTTAAGTTGAAAATCACGTGTTAAATGAGTTATTCCATGAATGATCAGTACAAATGAGTCGACTTGAAACAAACAAACTAAGATAATTGTTTTGTGGAAGAAGTCATGACAAAAAATACAAAAGAAAAATATTTTTCTTTAAACTTACTACAGAATTTGATGTTGTCAAATAATGGTTACACCATTTATTAAATAGTTTAATGTTTCATATTTGATTGACAGTTATTTGGAATTTCTTTTTTTCTTTTTGGACATTATGTAGTCATACGAGTTTAATTAGAGCTGGAAATCGGGATCGGAATGACCTTTTTGGAAAATCTCCAAAAAATTTCGGAAGTGAAAAAATGAGCTCCAATTCCGTTCCAAAAAATTGGAATGCAAAAATCCATTCCGGTTTCAGAGAGGTGGAAATCGGGATCGGAATGACCTTTTTGGAAAATTTCCAAAAAAATTCGGAAGTGAAAAATGAGCTCCAATTCCTTTCCAAAAAATCGGAATGCAAAAATTCCTTCCGATTTCAGAATGTCTCGGCAGAATTTCAAAAATTTGGAAACATAGATCTTTTTATAAGGAAAAAATGCAAATAAAGTTTCTAATGCAAATTAATACAGTAGAACCTCGATAAATTAATACCCGATAAATTAATAACCTCGATTAAATAATAAATTTTCCCGGTCCCTAACGTGCTAAATTAATAATTCGCTAAATTTATAAGATAATACACATTCGAAAATTTTAAGAAGCCCCATATAATATATAAATTAATAATGCATAAAAATAATTCTTAAATTAAATGGTACAGTGCATATTTTATAGATCTATGAAGGCTTAATAGAATATAATTTAATTCTCGTTTGTTTCTTGTAGAAGTTCACATTACCATCAATCTCGTCCCTCACTTTTCTTAACATGGTTAGAACTTTTGGTATAATTTTCTCATAACTCAACATAAGCGTTCTATACCATTATTGTTTTAAGAGCTTCAATTCGTGAAACGGGCTCTATAGTGCATTGAACGAATAGTACAATGAATAATATACACGTAAAAAGTTAAAAATAAATGTATTTATTGAAAATAATAATAAAAATAATTTTATAAATTAATAAATTATTAATTAATGTATAAATTAATAATTATTAAATGAAATTTCGCTTAATTAATAAAATTTTGATGGTCCCAACTGTATTAATTTATAGAGGTTTAACTGTATTTTGTAAGGTTTTTATTTACTTTGACCCTTCGCTATTTATATTTTTCATATAAAATAAAACATAAGTTATATTACATAATTACAAAATATATCATCGAATTATATTATATATTTCAAAAAAGAGGATCACTATTTCAAATCCCAACTTTTGCTTACTTGAATACCAAAAAAATAAAAAATAAATAATTAATTGTAAATTACTTTAATACCCTTAATGAAAATTAAAACCAAAAAAATATTACAAATACTATTTTTCTTTCTTAAATACCAAATAATCAAAAATCCTAAAAAACTCATTTCCCTCCTCACTCACAAACCCCTCACCTCCTCCACCTCTTTCTTCTCCCTCACCAAAAAACCCTCCTAAAAAACCTCAAAACTAAAGAAATCAAAACCTTACACAACTTGCAAAATGGCGTCAAATGACAATAGAATGGTAGTTTACGAGCAAGGAGAACCCATTAAGGTATGTATTCATGTATTTTTTGAGCTAAAACATCGATTTTGATTTTTTTTTTTTAAATTCGCCATCAATTTTCGACACATTCAGGTCGAAAATGTGCTTATTTTTCGACATGTATGTGTCGAAAATTGATGGCAATTGATATTTTATTCATTTTCGACACTTAAGTGTCGAAAATTGAGGTCATTTTCGACACTTAAATGTCGATTTTGTGCCTGTTGCAAATTTACTTGTCTTATATTTTCTCCACTTTTGAGTAGATCGATTGCACCCATTCATTTACCACGTCAGAAAAATTCCCAACAAAAGAAGCTTTATTGGCATGGGTTCGTGAAGTATGTAAAAGAATTGAAATGGTGTTAATGATTGCGGGTTCGAGTGACGGGGATAGAGGACGTAGGACACCTTATGTGATTGTTCGTTTTTGATAAATTGCAATGTAACATAAAAAACATATTCTAAGTGTTTTGTGAAATTAACCCCAAATATATTGTAATGTAACATAAAAAACATATTCTAAGTGTTTTTGGACAAAAACAATTAAAATTTCAAATTATCAAAAATAATTTCATTTAAAACAATCAAAATCCATATAAAACTAAATTAAAAAAACAAGTAAATCAAATAGCCGGCAACAACGTCTACAGGCGAGGGAAGAGCCGGCACCGGATTCGTTGAGGAACAACCTTCTCCAGACTTCTTCTTGGTCGTGGTCTTTTTCTTGGTCGTGATTGCCTTGCCCTTGCCCTTATCGGATAATTCCTTCCTCTTCTTACGGTTCGAGACAGTCGGAGGTATACGAGGTTCACGTGGTTCTTCCACTGCAAAATAACACACAAATAAAAATAAATATACATAATACAAACACAAGCAAATAAAAATAGGAAAGAAAAAAAATTAATAAATAAATTAAAAAAAAATTACACAGAATGAATTCGATAGCAAACTGTCGAAAATGGGTTGAAAATTCGACAGCTAGCTGTCGAATGTTCAACCAACTTTCGACAGTGTGCTGTCGAATTATCAAACATTCAATTCAAAGATTTCAAAACAATCGACAACTATATATATGTCGATTTTGGATGAATTTTCGACATCAATCTGTCGAAAATTTCGAAAAAATCGTTATATACAGGTCGAAAATTGTGAACGAAGAACCGACCCACGAATCTCAAATCAATGCTCAAATCGACTGAAATTAGATGCACCCATTACTAATTAACGATCATTCCTACCTAAACCAACCAAATCCTAATTACCCATATCAAACAATCAAATCCTAAATAAATATTAAAGAAAAAAAAAATCGAAAACAAATATTACTTGTATTCGAAGACGGCGGCGGCTTGATAACAATGGATTCAGCGGCGGCGGCGTTCGGCGACGCTCGGCGGTGTTCGGCGGTGTTTGGCGGCGGCGAGGGTTGGAGCGGCGGTGACGTCCGGCGGCGAGGGAGGGTTGGAGCGGTGGAATGAAATGTTTTTCTTTTTTTTTTTTTTTTTTTTTGGTTTTCAAATAGGTAATTTAAAAAAAAAATTAATATAATTGATATTTTGTATGAAATGGTGTTTTTGTACTTTTCTTTTTATTTTGGTATTAAAGTAAGAAAAAAACTTATAAATATGTACTCAATTGTGGTTTTCAACTTGGTAGTATTCAAGTAAGCAAAAGTTGGGATTTGAAATAGTTGCCCCCTTCAAAAAACCATAGAAATATTCGGAACTAAAATCGGATCGGAAATCGAAATTTTCGGTAACTTTATATAACATTCCAATTTCGTTCCAAATAAATTCGGAAGATTCGGAAAATCGAAACTTCGAAATTCAAAATGAAAAAATTGGTTCCAAATTTGAACATTTTCAAATTGCAATTGACGGAATTCAGAAAATTCAATCCGATTTCCACCCCTAAATTTAATAGATCCAACGGGTTGACTCACTAATTAAAAATAAATTGACTCGCTTTAAAGCTTAAAAAAATGCGTTATATGCATTCAAATATATTTTCATTTTTCTCCATTTGCATATTCTAGAATATTCGTTGTGTAGAAAACTCTACATAACCTTATAAATATCTAGATAATCGGTATAAGTTGTAAGATAATGTCGATGTTAGGTATCCATTAGAGATATAAATACAAGATTAAGAACAAGAAAAGATTTAATTATTTTTCATCTCCCCACTCAATCTGTGATGAATTAAGTGAAATTCCCCGGTATATGAAAGAGTGAAAAAGTGATTTTGGGGAATAAGAAGACTGTATGACAATGTACGTGTTGAATTTATGTCTGAGGTATAGACCTCATCTCATTTGTAATCAACCATCCAAGATGTAGAGCAAGAAAACAATAAATTAACTTCCATTAGTAATCATGGTGGTACCATTCTATTGGCCTTAGCCTTATGTGCCGAACGGAGTTTTCTTCCGCCTCCTGTATTTTTGATGTATTTATCAATATTATTATAAATTTATTATTATAAATTATAATTAAAAAAATGACATGTAATTTTTTTGTAATTATTTATATGAATTTATTGTTTATTTTATATTAATTATAATTAAAATTAAAAAAAAAGCTCATGAACCGGCTCGCCGCTCACGAACATCTCGAACTCGACTGCGTCAGAAAGCTCGAGCTCGAGCTTGTAAAATTCAAGTTCGAGCTTTTGTCGAGCCGGCTCCGCTTATTTACACCCCTACTTTTAACTAATGAACAAAAAAAGTTGGTTTACATTCGAGATGTAAATGAGCCGAGCCGGCTTGACAAAAGCTTGAATTTTTCGAGCTTGAGTTTTTTGACGAGTTGAGTCCGACTTTCAGTTGTTCTCGAGCCGGTTCGCGAGCTTTTTTTTTTTTTTAATTTAAATTTATTTTTTATTTTTATTTTAAATATAATTAATATAAAATAAATAATAAATTCATATAAATAGTTTAAAAAAAATACAGGTCATTTTTTTGAATTTTTTATATTATAATTTATAATAATAAATTTTTAATAATTTAATAAAATAAAATAAAAAAGACACAAAATGGCTCAGCTTCGAGCTCAACAAACGAGTTGAGAAAAAAAATACTCGATGAGCTTGAATTCGGCTCGTTTACACTGTGCTGCATGAGTATTATACATCCTAGTTATTTGTCTTTCTGATTCATAAACAAATGTAAAACGCATAACTTTTTCTTTCATCTCAAAAGTGTAAATGAGATTTTTCTTTTACGAGACAATGTATACCAATTTTTACAAGTACTAAACCATTTTAATAATACAATAAGCCAAAAATATATATTCAAATAAAGTTTCAAGAAATAATAAAACTTGTACAAAACCAAATGAAAGTACGTTCAGAAAGTCTTCGTGTTCCAAACGGTTAAAGGCCCTCTCTTTTGGTGCTCACACGACTTAAGTCCGTTCATAGCCTTCCCCATTAGAGCCATAGCTGCAATGCTCGGGAACTGCTTCTTTTGTAGATCATCCAATGAAAGTTTCGAGCTGTTCGGTTCGCAAATTACTACTGTTTCAGGCTTAGTTTCCGTCAATTCCAACCTATTCTTCCGCCACCTTTTAATCCATGCATGCGAAAGCAACAACTTTTTGCCTCTCTCCTCTTCGTTCTTATTCGAGTGATGCTTTCTTGGGGTTGGTTCTGAAGTACTAGTGGTGCTGCCACTCTCGAGAATACTTCCGAAAAGCTTTTTCATTTTTTTGTGAGATGATTTCTCGGCCAAACTAGAGCTCTTTGTGCCTTGTGCTGAGGAGTTTGTGGAGTTGAGCTTGAGACGCTTTACCCATCTGTTGGTTGGATCTGCTTCGGAGGAATCGTTGGATTTCGGTTTAGGTTGCTCGGCTTGCGCGAGGAGTGTTTCCATCTCGAGACTCTGTGTACTTGAGGAGGTGGGTCCCACATTCTCCGATGAACTTGCGACGGCTGGCAATGTGGGCAGCTGCAGGTTGATATCGGGTAGCCCTGTTTTCGTCCACCTGTGTTCAACTCGTCTTGAGGAAGAAACGTCGATTCTAGGTGATGAAATCGAGTCAATATTGAAGCCCTGCAAATCAATATGTGTTCATATACATTTTCTTGTTAAGGTTGTTGTACATGCAACTGTAACTAGATAACAAAGGTATTGAAAATAGAATAAATTTGTGTAATGCAAAAAAAAGCATAAGAAATGGTACCTTAGTCGAGGGGGTAGAATTTGTACCTACAGCACAGAAAAAAAACATAATTTAATGAAAAGTGACAATACTTCGACTACAGATATTCGTTTGCCATGTGAAAAAAAAAATATTCGTAGTAGATATTTTCGAAGGCCAAGATCAAATGCATAAGATTTCAGAATCAAAAATGCGATATACATACCGGAATTCAGTTTCTCCTGCCTAAAAAAGGCCATGTCCATGGTGTCGGTATCGGCCGACGATTCGTTCCGTATAATAACTTTGCAATCTTTGACAACTTCATTTTTTGTACCTTCGCTATTAGAGAAACTACTCATTTCTTGAAGCTTTATTCCCCCGAAAAAAGGTGATGTGCTCCCCTTCATTTTAATCAACTCCATAGTTCTACGAATATCAGTCTCCTTCGACAAATTGACATCTGTCTTTTTCGTGATCAACAGACTGTGAGTCATCTTCACAGAATCCACAGTCGTGCATATTCTCACCGTCTCCAAATTACGAACGCGATTAGGCAATTTCTTCTGTGGAGGGTTACAATACGGCACAATCTCACTTTTACCGAGCTCGAGGTGGTTCCATTCATTTGTATTACTGCCATGCTTCGTAAGAGAAGTGGGCATTCCCTCGTTTTTCGAGCTTTTTGAACTCGAAACAAGACTCTCGTTCGCGAATTTGAAAGTTCTAGTGTTGAGGGTTTCGGGTTCTTTGAAAGATCTAGAAGGTTCTAGTGTATTTGATGAATCATCGTCTCTTGTGCGCATCCAGTGAGCCATCCAAACGGGCTGGTAAGATTGCACGATTCTTCGGCTTTTCCCACTGTTATCAGTAGTTGATTGCCTCATTCTTTCAGACATCATAACTACTTGGACTTGGCTTCTTTTTTAGTTGAAAAAGTCCACTTTCAGAATTTGATCAGATAATATTCAGCCAATTTTAACCTAGCAATTAAAAAAAATTAATTATAATAAATATTTTTAGGAAAAAAAATTAAAAAAATGCAGCAGTTATTAGATTTTCAATCTAGATTAGCAACAAATAAAAAATAAAGCTTTTTATGAGAAATTTCATTTTTACCATAAACTGAAGTGGAACCACCGCATGAACACACACACACACACAAATCTCCCTAATCGGTGATCCAAACAGACCGTTAGAAAAAAAAATCATAGGAGCTAGAAATTAACAATTTTACACACAATCGAAAAACAACAGATCGTATTCTAACGAAATCGAAATAATACGAATTAAATAGTACGAAAAACAAGTGAACTTAAATTAAAAAAAAAATAATAATAATAAAAATAAGGCGTACAGTGAATTCACCTCTCTGCTAACATAGGCGCCGAGATTTCTCCCAAAAATCAAAGCAAAATTAAACCGGTGTCGCCGCCGCCGCTGAACTCAGATCTCCGGGGGAATACTTGGCAGAGAGATCGAACTCGTTTAATTGCTGTGTAAATTAAATGAGAAAAACTTTGAAGAGAGAGACTGAGAGAGGTAGGTACAATAATATATATATGTGTCACATGCAGTTGTGTGGCTCTCCGAGTCTCGGCGAATATATATTATATATACATACACATGTTTGTATGTATATGTTGAGCAGTGCAAGTGTGCAACTGTGTAAATAGTAAATACTACTTGACTGAGTGAAGAAAAATATACATGGTGGAGAAAAGCTACTTGCCGACTAACGAATGGGGCCCACTTATCTTACACTAAAGAAAAATATTCTACGAATATTTCCCTTTTGTTTCTCTAATTCCCTTTTTAGGGGTTTGTTTACTCCAATAACTTATTGATTTTCAAGTTATTATACTTACTAGTAATTGCATTGTTTTGATGTTGTAAGAATATAAACAAACGTTTGATGTATCGTATGATCAAAATTCTTTTATAATCATTCATTAATAATTCATCAGTGGAACATTATTAAGTATACTACACACACAAAAAAAAAGAAAAAAAAAAATTGCTGTTGAATAATTTTCCAAATGAATTGAACCAGCTAATACCAGTAGATTGAAAATTTGAACCAGGAAAAAAATCATCAACTATGTCTTTCATGTTGAACTTAAAAGTAATTAGATTCAATAACTTAGAGGGTGTTTGGCTAAGCTTATAAGATGTCAAAAGGAGCTTATAAGATATTTTAGAGCTTATAAGCTCTTCCAAAGTGTTTGGTAATTTTTTAGAAAAAGATCTTATTTTTTTTTAAAATAAGCTGTTGGAGAGCAAATAAGATATTTTTAAATAAGTACCTCTACCCCACCTTTTTATTTAAGATCTTATAATGAGTAAAAATAGGAAATAAGCTCATTATCCAAACACTCTAAAAATTAATCCTAAAAATAAGATGTAACAGCTTATCAGCTCTAAAAACATCTTATCAGACGTAAGAGCTTATCAGCTGTTTAAAATAAGCTTAGCCAAACACCCTCTTAGTTAACATATATAATCAAAACTAAACTATCGACAACATACCATCGTAAAAGACCATCTATACATCTTGCATCGGAACTAAGCCCTTCTCCACTGCCTCATTTTAAGGCTGTTTTGCCACTGGAATTAACAATTGGAAAATTAAGAAACAAAAATAAATATAAACTATAAATTAAATATCGCATACAAACAATAAGTCTTGAATGTCGACTTCCAATAGCTTGTGGCTCCGCCCATTTTTGGTTAATTCTCTCAAATCTTCCATTTCAATAACATGTCCAATAACATATAAAATGAAATAATTGTTATACATAAAATTTGAAATCTTTGGTATAAATTAATGAAACACATAATTTAACAAAATGAAATTACCTATAAGCCATGATGGAAAAAGATGTAAACTAATTACCACACAGTCAATAGGATGAAGAAGAAGATAAGAAACAAAATCTTAAGTGGGATTACCAAAAAAAGAAGCCTTAGGTATGGAAGAAATAAAATTCAAATGTTGCAGACATTCTGTAAAACGATGTCTCAAAATCCGCTAGGTATGAAAATCAGATTTATTTACCCTTTTCTGTAAAAATCGAAAATCAGATTATTATAAATAATATCTAGGAGATAAAAATTTGATGAAAATCGATAATAATATTTAAAATAATATTTAGGAGATAAAAATTTGATAAAGAATCAAAAAATAATATTTTGGAGATAAAAATCGAAAATAAAATTTAAAATGATAGTTAGGAGATAAAAATTTGATAAAAATCGAAAATAATATTTAAAATAATGTTAATGAGATTAAAGTTGATAAAATACGAAAATAATAATTAGAATAATATTTAGGAGATAAAATATGATTAAAATCAAAATTATTATTTAAAATAATATTTAGGAGATAAAAATCGAAATTAATATTTAGGAGACAAAAATCAGATAAAAATTGAAAATAATATTGAGGAGATAAAAAACTAATAAAAACATGATAAAACTCGAAAAAATATTTATAATATTCTTTAGGAGATACAAATTTGATAAAATTCGAAAATAATATGTATGAGATAAAAATCTGCTAAAAGTTGAAAATTATATTTAAAATTATATTTAGGAGATATAAATTTGATAAAATTAAAAAATATTATTTATAATAATATTTAGGAGATAAAAATTTGATAAAAATAAAAAAATAATATTTAGGAGACAAAAATCTGATAAAACTAAAAAATAATATTTAAAATAATATTTAAAATAATATTTAGGGGATACAAATATGATAAAATTCGAAAATAATATTTAAAATAATATTAAGGAGATAAAAGTTTGATAAAAATTGAAAAAAAAATTACAAATATGACATTAGGTTTCTTATGGTTGCCCTAGCGTTTCTTTCTTTTATATATAAAAATAATATTTAGGAGATAAAAATCGAAATTAATATTTAGGAGATAAAAATCAGATAAAAATTGAAAATAATATTGAGGAGATAAAAAACTAATAAAAACATGATAAAACTCGAAAAAATATTTATAATATTATTTGGCAATATAAATTTGATAAAATTCGAAAATAATATGTAGGAGATAAAAATCTGCTAAAAGTTGAAAGTTATATTTAAAATTATATTTAGGAGATATAAATTTGATAAAATTAAAGAAATATTATTTATAATAATATTTAGGAGATAAAAATTTGATAAAAATAAAAAAATAATATTTAGGAGACAAAAATCTGATAAAACTAAAAATAGTATTTAAAATAATATTTAAAATAATATTTAGGGGATACAAATATGATAAAATTCAAAAATAATATTTAAAATAATATTAAGGAGATAAAAGTTTGATAAAAATTGAAAAAAAAAATTACAAATATGACATTAGGGTTTCTTAGGGTTGCCCTAGGGTTTCTTTCTTTTATATATAAGATAAATCTTTTTGGTTTGATAATGAAGTAAATCTAGTCAGCCATATAGTTACACTGAATAATTAATAATAATATGCACTGGAGAAATTTATACTTTTGTATAATAGCTTGTAAATTGTACGAGAGACGTAAAATTATACTAGGCTAATTATGAGTGACAAACTCAAACTCGAGCTAACGATCGTTGGCAAGAAGATTTGAACTTGGATCAACTTGACCCAAATTTACTTACTTCAACCATTAGATCATTCGTTAGGGGCATTATACTTAGGGTAAATTACAACCACCTCATGAAGTATGATCAAATTACGAAAAGACCCCTCTAGTTTGGATAATTACATTTACCCCCCTCAACAATGAATTTTCTTACACCTTCACCTTTATGATGTCAAATTCAACATAATCATTTAGATCCCGTGGAATTTTCTCTACTCTGTACTCGTTTTGTGCAAAAATACAGTTTCTGATGCACTATAATCTGATATATACAAGCAAAAAAAACATCTTACTATCATATTTTTTTCAAAATGTGGAGCTCAAATGAGATAAAACGGGTAAAAAATTGGGAATATTCCATATAATCTAGAGGATTCCTCTAAATTTGAAACCGCAAGAATAGATGTGTAAAAAGATTTATCGTTGAAAAAGATGGTTGTAATTACCCGAACCATAAGGAATTTTTCGTAATTTAACCATACATCAGGGATGACTATAATTTACCCCTATCCTTAATTTAACATTGTGTTGCAGATAGTAATATATAATTAGGATGTGGAAGATAAAATAATTAATTAATTGGATACTCTATGTAATTCTAATTGGGCCTACTAAACAATTTTTGTGTCTACTAGACGATTTTGTAGATGTCACACCTAATGAAATACATCAAGTGATTCAACACCATTGATCTAATTATAATATATCATCACACACACATGTGTACATGTGTTTAATTTGCAATTATTTCATATTTGTGTAAACTTATAGTGTAACATAACTCAATAGTAACATTTTATACTTCCGTACATCCTACTAGACTATGGCATATCAGCAGCAGCTGGCAAAATAATTCCCCCCTCATAAGAACAGTAGAATAAAACCTGAACACGTGAAAATATTTTGTATGGTTTCAATCCGTCCAAACATTTAATTTCAATTATTTTATAAAATAAAATAAAATAAAAAAATTAGTTTTAGTTAAAAAAAAAAACAAAACAAAAGTAATCTGTTGACCGAAGACGGCTCGCCGAGAAGCCAAAGACCACTTGTGGCTGTTTATTCTACACGTCATTCATTATGTGAAGGCCACTTAGATTTCTCCACGTGTCATTTTATTTACAGGTGAAAGATGCGGTGACAAAAAAAGTGGGGTAGATTTGATATTATCCATTTGAAAAGGGGCCTTTAATTAATTGAAATAATTATATTCCATGCCTCAATTTTTTTGTGGTTTGTGTTTAGGGTTAGTGGAGATTGAATTGACATGATTCCATTTCTATGTTATCATTTATTTTCACACAATATGGATGAGAAGTTTAATTCAAGCTTTCTAATTGAGCTTATAAGTTTTTTCAAGAGTTTATATAAGTTTTTTAAAGTATTTGGTATTTTAAGAAAAAATAATAATAAGTTGTCGGAGACCAAATAAGACCATTTTTGAAAAGTACCACACCCTATTTTTTTATTTGAGATGTCATAATTAGTAAAAATAGTTCATAAGTTTATTATTCAAATTTTTTTTTTTAATTAATTATGTAAATAAGATGTACCAGTTTATCAACTTTAAAAATAACTTATCAAGCGTAAGAACTTATCAGTTATCTAAGATAGCCAAATAGGCCCTTAAGTATGAAAGTAAATAATTACAAAAAAAAAAAAAAGTTAATAAAGAAAGAAAAATAGACAATGTGAGAAATCTTACATTGGGCCTAAATCTTACATAGTGGAATCCAAGCCCAATATGTTCATTTCTTGTTTCAATAAAGAAGATGGGCCTAAATTTGTCATAAAAAGATGAGAAAATATCATGGGCCTAAGGCCGTGAAACCCACTTTATTATAATTTTTATATAATTTATTTTTATCGGTCAAGTAATTATTATATGTCGATATTAAGATTTTACAACAAAGTAATTTTAATTT